ATGATAGTTCAGAGGTTAGCTTAGGTGACTGTGACTTTCTCTCTCTCTTTTTTAGTTTGGTTTTTTTGAGACAGGTTTCTCTGTTTACTCCTGACTGTCCTGGAACTCTCTCTGTAGAATGAGCTGACCTCAAAACTCAGAGATCCTCCTGCCTCTGCCTTCCAAGTGCTGTAATTAAAGGCACACACCATCCTGCCTGGCCTATTATTTCACAAATAGAAAAAGAAAAAGAAAAAGGAAAAAGAAATTGGCCCCTAACAAGTTAGCAGAGGCAATTCACTAAACAAGTCTGGAATTGAGTTTTTGATGACAGCAATTTAGCGAAGGCTACAGAGTCTACCCAAATTTGCTCTCCTCAGTTCTTGACATGGGACTTGGCTCATTTCTCAGCCTCTCTGGTGGGTAGGTGTGGTCATATGGATGGTGAGCCCATGGCTAGTGAGCAGTGAGCAGACTGGCGGGGACCCTCAGGGGGACAAGCATACCTCTCCAGTCTTCTTTCCCCTTCCTCCCGCTGGGATCAGGGATGAGCAGGGATGACCAGCTTCAAGCACAGAGAAAGACTGAGCTCCAGAGGATGCTGAAGCAACACGATACTGTATCCCTGAATGACCACCGGGAGCAGAGCTGTCCTACTGACCTGGTCTGCTCTCCTCAGAGAGACTAACTCAGAACCCAGTGCTGTTAAGTGAGGAAGAATGACCGCTTTGTCCTTTAAGCCACTGTGCTGTTGAGTCTCTTTGTTACAGCAGCCTAGCCTTTCACTTCAGCTCACACGACCGAGCCCCTTTCTTTGTGAATATTTAGAATGGCTTTACAAATGACCAGCCACCACTGGAGAAAACTGCATCCAAGTGGGCACTAGTCAAATAGGAAATTCCTGCCTGTAGCTACCACCCCAAGTCCTCCTCAGCTTGTGTGAAGACCATTTCATGGGTGAAACAGACTGCTTATGTTAAGACTCACTTAGCCTCTATGTAACTGACTCAATGAGCTTTTGACTATTTCTCCCTGCTGGGGACACAGCCACTGTATTCACAAAAGCTCATGTGTGTGTCTGTTGTGTAGTTAGCTTTTAATATGCTGTGAATTTTTGGTTTTGTTGTGCTATGGATCAAACCCAGGGCCTTACAAACAACAGGCACACTGTAGCCCAGCCTTCAGTAGTTAGTGTGGAAAACTGCTGACTGTGGAAGCAGACGGTGTGCAATTACCTACTGAGCATTACAACGGGGCAAACTGTGTGCACCGACCAAAGATGAACCCTTCCTCATTAGGTCTCAAGAGAAATAATTTCTTTTTAAACTTGTTTCTACCTCCTTGTATATGTGCCCTCCTACGGGCATCCATGCAGAGGCCTGAGACAACTGGCTCTTTCCCACTACCTTGAAGGTCACAGATGAACGCAGCACAGGCGACCAGGCTTGGCTGGCATCTTATAGGCCCAAGCCAGACAGCTGGAGTTAGCCTCAACTCTTCAAAGTACCTTGAGAGATTTTTCAAAATTTACTTATGTCTGCGTGTTCTACCTGCATGTGTGCCTACAGGCCAGAAGAGGGCATCAGACCCCATTACAGATGCTTGTGAGCTGCCATATGGGTGCTGGGAATTGAACTCAGGTCCTCTGGAAGAACAGAACAGGCCTCTTAACCGCTGGGCCATCTCTCCAGCCCCAGAGTACTTCTTTTTTTAAAAGATGCTTCATGACTGTGGACACAGGGGGAAGCCAGAAAACTTTTCAGCTCTCCCCTTACACCGTTTTTTGAGGTACAGTTTCGTTATTAAAAAAAAAAATCAAATAGGGGTGGAAGGTGCTGGAGAGATGGCTAAGACCATGCAGGGACACAAGTTTGGTTCAGCACCCACATGAGGAAGCTCCTTGCCCCCTGTAGCTCCAGTTCCAGAGGCTTTAACAGCTCTGGCCTCCCAGGGCATTTGCAGGAAAAGGCAGGTGCGTGCACACGTGCACACACACACAATTTAAAAATAAATCTTAATTTCTTCTTTTTCCACTACCTCCTCCTCCTCCTCCTTCTACTACTAAGAGGAAGACGAGTCTAACCGCTCACTTTGTGCTGGAATTAATCACCAAAGGCACTCAGACAACACCGCTGGCGGCAAACTCAAGGGACCTGGATGAAGGACCCTGCTCGTCCAGGGATTAGCTGAGGCCAGACGGTGCAGTGTGAGCAGAGCCCTCGCTGGTCTCAATGGTCCTTCCCAGCTGGCCAGAGACGTGCTGGTGAAGGGACCCCAGGTGTCCCGGCTTTACCACACTTGCTGTGACTGGCACATCCATATTCTCACTTCAGCTTCTACCTGAGCAAAAGCTGATGCGTCTCTCGGTCGCCTGATGGAAACCAAGGGGCCAAAGACTGTGTCCTTCCCTGGCCGCCTCCACCAGAGAGCAGCAGGGCGATGCAGGGCCCCAGGCCTTTTCACGGTTGCTGCAGGAATTTCATCTCCCATCTCACCGTTTCTAACGTGAGCAGTGGGTTCAACCACCGTGCCCTGAACTTAACAGGCACTTAAGAAAACCATTAGACACTGACTGGTGGGGTGCGGGAGGTAAAACAGTCTCAGATTCCAGCAGACAGAGAAGTGAGTTCAGAGAAGCCACCACTCCTGGTATTTCAGATGGAAGGATTAAAGAGGTCTTTTGAGGTAGAATTAGTAAAACTTGTTTTTCTTGATTGTCTGCTGACATTTTTAAGGCTTTAAAATATATTTAGCAAGCCAAGTGAGGCATTTCAGAAACTAAGCTTCCTCCCTAAACAAAGCCAACTCCACACAACACTCAACAGCTAGAATCTTCTGGCTGCTCACCCCCCTCCCTGCCCCCAGCTAGCTGGCTAGCCGCGCTCCCCCTGGGCCTGCATCTCCCACAGTTCTCCCTCCAAGGCTGGGGGAAGACAACGTCCCTGAAGTGCTTGGCACTGTTTGGCTTCACTGTAAGCACTCCGCACCCAAGATGTGGCTTCCCAGCCTGTTGATTCAAGTAATACACCGTCTGGGGAACTCACACACAAAGACCAAGATGGCGGGGGTGCACCGCTGGCTTCTTTGACAGGAGAATATATTTATTAAGAGCCGGCCAGTACTTTTGCTAAGAGGTCAAAGTCTTTCACCCTGACATAACCACACTTTGAAGGGTTCCTTTGCTTCTATTTTGTGTATGTGTGGGGGCATGTATATATGTGTGCGCATGCGTGGGCAGAGGCCAGAGAAATGACCTTAGGTGACACTCCCCCTCAGGCACCAGTTTGTGTTTTCTGCGTGCGTGCAGGTGGGCGGACACCTGTGTGTGCATGCATGTGGAGGCCCTCTCTGCCTTTAAAAAGTTCTTATTTTGTAGGTGTGTGTGCTGTGCGTATGTGGGGGAGTCAGTTCACTACCTGACTGCGTGCATCTTGTTGGTACATGCTAGTGCCCCGGATCAGCTAGTCCGACAGCTTCACAGGATTGTCCCGTCCCCCGCGCCCATCTCTCAGGAGTTCGGGATTACAGAAGCCTACACGACATCTAGTTTTTTACATGGGTACTTTCACCTGCTGAGTCACCTCACTAGCTCTCCCCTTTTTTTTTTTTTTTTTTTTGAGACAGGGCCTCACTGTGAACCTGGATTGGCTAGGCTGGCTGGCAATGAGAGAGAGCTTTACTCTCTATCCCCTTGCCCCTCAGGCGAACTCAGTCCCTGTCCTCCCAAAGCCGGTGGGTGCTCTGCTCACCAAGTCACTGACCTGCCCTACCACCACTTTATTTCCTGGTTTGTCAAGACAGGGTTTCTCTGTGTAACAGTCCTGGCTGTCCTGAAACTCGCTTTGTAGACCAGGTTGGCCTCGAACTCAGAAATCTGCCTCTCTGCCCTACCACCTCATTTTTGGACGGTGCATCTCACTTGCCTCTAGCAGCATATATTATGCCAGGCTACCAACCAGTGGGCCCCTGATATTGTTTCTAGCTCCCTAGCAATGAGATTAGAGGCATGTTGTGGGGCTGAAGAGATGGCTCACCAGTTAAGAGCATTTGAGGCTCTTCCAGAGGCTCTGGATTTGATTCCCAGCAAACCACACAGCAACTCCTAATCATCCGTAACTTAAGTTCCAGGTACTGGATGAAAGGAGCGCTCATGGCGTGCACACAAAACATGATACACACAAGATCAGCAGGAGGCTGGCACGTCAGGTGGAGTCTCATACCTGTGTGTCCAGTAATTCACAGACCCAATTTGTTCATGCTGTGCTATTGTGTGGGGTTGTTTTGGTTTCACTATGTAGCCCAGGCTGGCCTGGAACACATAATTCTTCTTATACGGCCTTTCAAGTGCCGGGATTCTAAAAATTATACCCTTGAAAGATGCTCCTTCTTCCTCATTTTTTTTTTGTTTGTTTTTTGAGACAGGATTTCAATGTATAACAGTCCTGGCTGTCTTGGAACGCATGTAGACCAGGCTGGCCTCAAATTCTGAGAGATCCACTTGTCCCTGCCTCCCAAGTGCTGGGCCACCATGCCCAGTTCAAGATGCTCCTTCTTCTCCCGTTTACCCTGAAATCTGCAATCTCTCTGACCTTAAGAACTCTTGGTACACTGGCTGTTTACAAGGATGTTCCTAAGATTCCCCAAAAGCAGACCGACTGACATCTCTCTGTTCCCTTTAGTCCACTCCAGGGTCTCACACAACAGACCTGGAACAAACGCATCTGAAGAACTACAGCTTCGGTGCAGAGTTCTCTAACGGAATGATGGAAATGTATTGAAAACAGTAGTGCTGACACCCAGCACTGTGAATGTGGAATACCGAGCAAAACAGCAAAACACACTGACCCTATGCTCTACACAAATGAACAGAAGGCTTCAGATAACAAACCCCCAGGGAGAGACCCTGCAGAAAAGTGAGGAGCGGGAGTGCTGGGTATACGCTGTATCTATGCTGAGAGCAGAGTTGGAGAAAGAGCTGCCACACTGACAACAGGGCACACTGTGAATAAACTAGAGGGCTTTTGCAAACCTTTTTATTTACATTTCAAAAGAACGTATAGCTTTCTACCCTAGAAAGACAGCAGCGCCAGCCATTCTGCACGGGAGCAGCTAGCTCAGCAGACTCAGATCTTTCTTTAGTCTTCAAGACCCGGGTCACAACCACCTCCGCCTGACCCCTCTCCGTCTTCTGAGATTCAGAGCCGGGACAGCTCGCCTCATCGTCTCTCTGGGCTGCTCCTTCCTGCCGTTCTCTCACATCCAGAACTCCTGACTGTGCCTTACAATACTTCAGTCATTGACAAAAGCATCTGGAAGCGAGATATTTTTAGCCAGTACCCAGGACAAGAACTCTCTTTTAAAGGATGTACTGAATCTTGGTATTCACCACTAAAAAAGATCCTCAAGTAGAAAATGTGCAATCTGTGCCTCTTTCTAAAATAAAACCTTTAAGGTTCAAAAAAAAAAAAATCCCACCCTGCACTACATCACTACCAGACACAACAGCCACACAAGGGCTGAAAGGCCTGCTGCTCCCACCGCAGGCCACACCACAGAATAGAAGATAGAGGGGCCTTCTGCCCAGCCCTCCTCCGGCCAGGCGTGGGACACCAACACTTCCCCCCTCCTGCACTTGATCGCCACATCTCTGCAAAGGCCACCAGGCACATCTCTCAAACCCTGGCTTTCAGCTCTTGCTCATGCTGCCCTGGGGACTTCCCCTCTTTAGGTTCCGGGTCACAGTCTGGGGAACTACTTTGGGTTTCTATGGGAGGGACAGCATCTGAGTTCAACTTTCTTCTTTTCTTCAATCGGTGCAAGTGAGATTTGGATTTTATATGTGCTGAGAAGACAAAAACCAAATAAACAAAAGGATATCAGCTTTCTAGAATTCTAAGAACAAACAAAAAATAATAAACCCAACCAAACATTTGAATTTAACTATACAATCTTTTTCTTTAACTATTAATAAATAACAGAGTAGCCACATGTTTGTTTGAGACAAGGCCTTACTCTGTAGCGCAGACTGACATCACGCTCAGGCCCCTGCCTTCGCCCCCCCCCCCCCCCCCCCCCCCCCCCCCCCCCCCGCCTGCGCTGCACACTGACTGAGGCTCTGCAGGGCAGCAGTGGGCGTGCCCAGTCACTGCCGCACAGACCCGCCAAAACTCTCACTCTTACCCAATGACTGTCTCATAGGGGCTCATTTTTAATATCCTGTTCTGCAAGAATTATCCTCTAGGAACACCTAAAGAGAGGGATGGCTAGCCTAATTTTAAAATTTATTTATTTACTGAATTGTGCATGCATGCAGGGGTAGGAGATTGCTTACTGGCAAGCTTCTTTACCCACAGATCCTAAGCTAAAATTCTTTTACACATAGCAAAAGCATCATTTTTTGGGGGGGTGGGGGTTGGAAGTATAAGTAAGGAAATAAACTGAGGAAATTTGTGTGGGAAGAAGAGGCAGCTTTATTCTCTAGGCGTAAGGCAAACCTGGGCTCTGGGCTGCTTTCCATGGCAGCAGGAGACGGAGCAAGGACGCGACAGATGGCACTATAGAAGGCTCACACAGCCAAGCTCACAAAGGCTCACAAATGTTGCTTCTCTAAGGCTCTCCCCAAAGGCCATTCGACAAACCGAAGCACTAAGTTTCCTTCACAAAGCAATCAGACACCCTTTCTCTTCCCCTTTCATCATTATACACCAACAACCAAGGCTTCTTCTGCTGGATGGGCACACAGTCGCCCCCAGTCTCTGACAATGGGGTTCATTTTGTCAGAGATGTCAGTTAATAAACCTAATCATTCTATGGGCCGATATGGAGAGAAACATCTACTCTGAGAATCCAAGCAAAACTACTCTGAGCAGGCTTCCTGCAGCTGGATCAGGCTAGCTCAGGCTAGCTCTCACAGCTTTTTCCCCACCTACCATCACAGTTTGACAAGTTAGCCTGAGAGTGCTACAAAGACCCTCTCGGCCTCTGAGGACCCTGTGCACACCTGCTCCCTCCCAGCTGTGCCTCTGCTCCCGCACAACTGGAGGGCGAAGGTCTTCTACACTTCAGGATATGGGACAATTCTCTAGTCTGGGAAAGGTTCTCAGGAATCTGTCCTGTTACAAAGCTGACTCCAACATGCAACTATTAAAGACTAAGTTTTAAGAAGTGTGACTCCCCCAATTTAGAACCCATGACACCCCCCCACACACAGCCCCTTCTATCCCCACCTGCCCATTCCCGGTCCCCGATGATGATCCGGTCACACAGGTCACACATGTGGTAACTTCTCTTGTTCTCAGTTTCATCATACGCCATCTTCATTGGCGTGGCTGTAGGTTTGTGACCCTAGAGAGCAAGGGGAAGGACATTCAGCTCAAGAGATTTGGGGACAATTTTCTGATATTAAGGGGAGTGGGATTTTTCCAAGATTCCTTTTTCATCCCCCAGAGAGCAGGTGGGCTGTTAACAGATTTTAGCAACAACCTTTCTAAAAGTGAATGTTAAAACAAGCTCCAGGAATTTAAAAGCAGCCAGCTTGATGCTTTACTTCACTGAAAAGGGATTTGGCTCCCCAAATTAGCAGCAAGTGTCAACAAAAGAAAGCCCTTTGCAAACCTGACAACAGACCATGCCTCCTTAATAGTCACCTGGATGAAACTCTGTACTATATTGACAGCAGGTTCCAGAACAGACTCTTCCCACTTTGAAACATCAGATACTTCTAAGCCATATACTGGGGGGACACTGGGACCAGGTCCTAATGATGACAAAGAAAAGTTGTGTGAGCCTGGACTACGAGACCCAATCTATTCTGTTTCCAGGACTCTTAAAACCCTCAAGAGGAACACACAGGGCCAAAAGAGTGACATTCTGACCATGCTATTCATCCTACTATAAATATGAGCCACAATTCCAAAGACCCACAAGCTTGACTTGTATGCAGCCAACATTCCTGACCATGCAAACAGACTCGAGAGCAGAATCTTTGAACAGTAAAGAAATCAAAATGGAATAACAGGTCTTGTGCCCACTGTGTGGGCTGTTGTGATAGAAACAGCATTTCACAGGAGGAACTAACAAAGAGCCCTGAGTGTGTACCTGCTCTAAATTTTATGTCATTGATAACATTTGGATAACCACAAGCATTAACCAATGCACCACTGAACTCAAGAACTAGTCTTGGGGCTGGTCTAGTTGAATCTCACTCTGACCTTCATGATTTTTTTCTTTTCTTCCTTCCTTCCTTCCTTCCTTCCTTTCTCTTTCTCTCTCTCTCTCTCTCTCTCTCTCTCTCTTTCTTTCTTTCTTTGATTCAGAGACATATGTGACCTAGGCTGTCCTCAAACTCACTGGGTACCTGAAGTTGGTCTTGGACCCCTGATCCTCCTGCCTCTCTACCTTCCAAACGATGGGATTATAGTCATGTTGTACAATGCCAGGTTCCTAAACACCTTCTTTTAAGAGCCATATCTAAGGGAGGTTTCACGTGTTTCACGTGGCGGGATGGAAGAGCAGACACCACCACCTGGGCAACTGTGCTGTGATAGTTTAGCTTCTGTCCGCCCACACTCTACAGACACACTGGGCCATCTCCACAGCTAGGTGAAGTCAGCTACTTGAAGGCAAGAAGCATTGTCCCATGGACAAAAACATCAAAGGCATTAGGATGCCAACGGCTGACAGGTGCTGGCCTTTTGAGTGTGCCAACCACAAATAAGATTCTTCATAAGCCGGACTGGCCTACACCTGCCAGCACATGGAAAGGTGAGACCAGGAGGGTGCAGGCAGTGCCCACAGCACACCTGGCCTTAGTTAAGCTCTGCACCTGTTTCTAGGCCACTCTACGTTTTCCTTTCTCCTCTAAGTCCTTTGTTGGGCCTCTGTGCCCTGTCTAAGCACCTTTCAACAAGTTCTCGGCTCCCAGCTGCTATTTCTGGCTTGGGTCCAAGGCCAAGCTGGGGTGGGGAAGTCCCTCTGGCTCTCTGCCAGACCATATCCCAGAAGACTAGCCTTGCCCAATCAAATGTGGCTCCTGACTTACAGGGCAGCTGTGCCTTTCTCTCTGGCACCAGGACTGTGCCTGCACAGAATGAGGTGCAGGCAAATGACACTGTGCCATTAACCCCTCCTGGTTGAGAGACAGGAGTTACTGTGGCCTTACCACAAGAGGAAGTTCCAAACTATCACAAAAAAGCCTTTTGTTTCAGACTTACTGTCAGACTTGGGAAGGGAAGCTGCAGTTGAAATCTGTGGTTCTGAACCTCCAGTTCAGCTGAGACTAGGCTGGGATCCCTACTACTTATCAAGACAGGCAGAAAAGGGGAAATCGAAAGAAGTGGCACCATGTATCAAGGTGTACATGGTCAAGAGCACCAAAGGGCAAGGCTGGAGGCTGTAGCTGAAAGCAGAGGTCTGCTGGTAAAATCAACCGGAGATGACGCAGAAGAGTATTCTAAAAGTGTCCCCAGGATAAACTAGAGTTCACTGCACTTAAATCTATCTCCTTTTAGCTCATAAGCACACAACTGGGGACCTGGGGGCCTGTATGAATGCTGGTCAGCCAACAGCATAGCTCAAAGAAACATGGGCCTAGACTTAAAAAAGCCAGGCCTGTATTTGGGCTCTATTGCCTTCTAGCTGGGGGTGGGAGAAGGGGAGTTACTGGACTTTTACTAGGTCTTCATGTTCTTATCTGTAAAATAAATGAAGCCTCAATACAACTATTACAGCACAGTATTTGGTGACAGAGACAGTGTGAGACTTTCCTTCCCTCTCCCTTAAAAGTTCTGTCCAATTACAGTGTCAGCTGAAGCAATTCAAGTGCCCACCGTGTATCTGACCACAAAGATAAAGCGAGGGTAAACAGAGAATGTTGTGTCCTTTCTATTAAAGATCACCAGACCAGGACCATTTTAACTAGGAAAGCTCCCGCAGCGTTCTGCCTGCTCTCAGGTGTAAAACAGAAGCTGGAATCGGAGCTAACGCCCAACCTGCTCACGTGTTGCTGTCTTGCTCTTCTTACCTGTGCTTACAGCCACCACTTTCTGTTCAAGGAGTAAGGAAACTCTTCAATGGAAACTTATCTGTTTTTTTTTCCTCCCTAAGACATCACCAGATAACACCCCTGAATAATATTCTATGCAAAAGACCCACCTGTGGTCTAAACTCTCAGGACAGATCTAGAGGCTACTGTTCATTTGCTGAGTGAGAAGACATCAATATTCTGCCAAAACGGATCCAGAAGAGAAGGAGAGAAGTGGGACTTACTGCTCAAAAATCGGTTTTTAACCCATCGGTTTTGCTTCCGGGCGTATCTCTTAGTTACTTGTTTCAGAGCCTCGATACCTGGAAGATACAGCAGACACAGTGGTATTCAGGTGAGCATTTCTGTCTGTCAGGAGACAACCCCTCCCAAGTCAAGAGCAAAAGAAATGAGCACACTGTTAGACTTCACAGACAACAATCTCAGTGTTTAGCTGGGACTCTTCTAGCCTCAGCCCAGACTATCACCCAAGGATGTCCAAGACTAGTTTAGATGGAGGAATTCACACCTTTCTTTAGAAGCTGGTTACTAGTCTCTGGTGTGCATTTTCCCTCAGTGATCAGGTACTCGTGAAATTCCTTGAAGCCAATTGACTGGAAGATACCATGTTGATAGTCCTGGCTGGGAACAGGAGAGCATCAGCAGTGAGCCACAGCCTCTGAAAACTAGCAGGGGCCTTGGATGTTATCTCATCGGTGAGAAAAGTGAATGCCTGAAATTCTCCCCTTCCCGCCCCACCAGTCTCTGGGTTACTTTCTTAAAAGTAACTTCTGGGAATGCCTGAAGAAAAACAAATTACTCTTGCAACAGGTATAGAATAAACCTTCAAGGAGCCCTGCCAATGCCAAGGCTGAAGACTGGTACGTAGATCCAAAGCCAGTGTTATGTCTACGGTCTTGCAACTATGGGCAAGCAATGAAGAGTAGGTCAGAACAGCAGCCAAATCCTCACCTATTTTCTGAAATGTTCTTAAGATTATAGCGCCTGTGAAAATCTCTCAGCTCCTCCAGGAGTCCGGCAGCGAGCATGGCATCCACTCTCTTGTCCAAGCGCTCATCTAGAACTTGAGCCAAAACAGCCCATGAATGAGCAGCACGCGGCAGGGGCTGACACACACATGGCGAACTGAACAGGCTACCCCAATACGGGTTTTATCCAAATGAAAGAATTCAGATCTCAGAGTATATAACAATTCATATTTATTTATTCATATTTGTATTTACTTGTACTTTAGACTGTGCATAGCAAAGCAAACCAGAATAAAGCACTTGCCTTAGCTGGAATGGAGGGCGAATACTTCACTATGGAGACTGCACACCCACTGCTTTTCAAAGTGTAGACCAGGATGTCCTGGAATTCACTGTGTGGAGTGGGTGGCTTGGAACTCACACAGATCCTCCTGCCTCTGCCTCCCAAAAGTGTGCACCACCACATCCAGGGTTGACTTTTCTTAACTTTTGTCCTTTTTTTTTTTTTTTTACTCTAACTTTGTTATTTCATTTCAGAATCCCCGGATGACATCTTGGTGCATCCTGAACTACCAAGTGGTAGAGCATCACCAGGTGCAGCAGCCAGGTGTGGCTCTGCCATGAGTCAAAGCCATTAGTTTATACTGAACTGCAGTGTAAGGGTTGATGTTAAACATTTCATTATAGAAAAGTTACATTTTTCCAGAAACATATAACTGAAAGTGATTTAAAAGCAAACTATCCTTATAATTATGACCATCTGCCTGTGTCTCCATTGCTGCCACCTCTCTGCTGCTAATGAGCACAGCTTTTTTCTTGCCTCGCTGAGATTTGTTGACTGAGGACTGGTCATGTATGGAGCTCACTGCAAGTGCTCTGAATTCCATTGACTTACTCATTTATTTTGCTGAGCTAGGAACTGAATAGAAGCTCTGTGCATACCAGACAACTGTTCTGCTTCTGAGCCATATTCCCATCCCACAACTTTGTGTAGTATTAGTATTTTGAATCCCTAATGGATGCTATGAAATATGTACTATTATTATCATTCCTATTTTATAGAAGAGCTGGAATACATAAAGGTAAACTAATTGGTCTTAACTCACAGAACAGACCAGGTGGTGGTGGTACACGCTTGTGATCCCAGCACTGGGAGGCAGAGGCAGGTGGATCTCTGTGAGTTCAAAGCCAGTTTCCTAGTCTACAAACTGAGTTCTAGAACAGCTTAGAGCTATTACACAGAGAAACCCTGTCTTTAAAAACAAGACAAAACAAACAAACAAAAAAGAACTCACAAAACCGGGAGACAGTGGAGCAAGTGTGTGAAGTTTAACAATGTCTTCAAGCCTGGGCGATTCACCACATTTGGTGTCCCTACTCCCCAGAGAATGGTCACCATCTCTTATCTTAGGCCCAAAGCACTCTGAACATTCCTCTGTTGCAGAACTGTCTAGCACCTCACCCCCAGGAGATCTGCAAGGGCAGGAGTTCTTACTCCTCTCTTCGGCACGGCGGCAACTACAGAGTACATGGCATTTTACTCAGGGCTCACTGAATACTTGCTGGGGAAACAAACAGGGCATCACAATACTTTTTTTGGGGGGGTGGGGAGTTTAGGGACAGGGCTTCTCTGTGTAGCTTTGGTGCCTGTTCTGGAACTAGTTCTTGTAGACGAGGCTGGCCTCAAACTCATAGAGATTCACCTGCCTCTGCCTCCCAAGTGCTGGGATTAAAGGTGTGCACTATCACCGTTCAAATGGCAACATAACACTTTAGCAACAAATGCTACCAGGTTAGCTAGCTAGCCGCCAGACCTATTTCTCAGGTCTATCAATCAGTCTTCAGTCAACCTCAAGGTCAGACTTCCCTCTGGGAAACCTTCCCTTACTTATCTTTCAACCTTCTCTAAACAGCAGTCTCTTCCACTTTGTACCTCTCATCCACTGCACTGAGAACCATACTGGTCTGAGAAGCAGCATTCTCCTCCACCCTTTCCAGAAATACCTACGGGAACAGCACGGAGCCTGAGTGAAGGCAGGACGACTGCCACAATAAACCCAGCAGATACGTCAGTGTTCATTTTCAGCCTCGGGTTCTAAGTAGATATACAAGAACCTAGTAGTCTACATTTTACCTTGGATGAACTCCAGACGGAAGATATTTTACCTGTCTGGTCAGCGTGAAGCCAGAGGATGCATGGGTTAGGGAACTTGAGAGGGCCTCCGAGAGGACCACCGCCTTCTTCTGCATGTTGACGATGAAGAAATTCACTGTGAGAGATTCCTGTTTCTTCAAACACTTGCAAGCTCCTAAGTTGTTGAAGATAGGAGGTGGGGTGGGGAACCCATTAGGAAATATTCATTCTCAACTGGAATAAAGAGAAAGTGTCTCACAGGAAGGAGTCAGGTGTGGTGACAGATCCTGACTCCAAGCACTCGGATACTAATACAAGCAGACCAGGAGACAAGGCCATCCTTAGTTTCATTTGTCAACTTCACGCATAAATTCCCAAACCAAGAAGTTCCAGCTTTATTCTAATCCTACAGTTATTCAGTAAGGCCCTAAACTCTGGGTGAGAAATAACACTGTTCTTTTAAACACACATTCTAGAATTAGTTAAACGGGTTCAGAAATAACAGGTTTCCTCTACACAAACAGAAGGAGACTCACTTTCAAGTGAGCAGTAAAAGCTTGTTTGGGACACTCTGTACAAGCCAACATGTCTGGTCTCGCCGGAACGCCTTTCCCACAGTACCAAGGCATGCCGTACATCCAGCTCATCCACTTTCTTTTTAAATATGTCTAAAATTAATCAAGAATGCTCCTGGTTAATCCAGCACACTCTCCTGGAACAAAGACTATCGGAGACAGAGCCCACACGCTCATTCTTAAGCTGACGTCCACGTCTGTGTGCATCCTGTTATATTACAGCACCAGGTAACTGAGCTCCCAAAGCCACACTCTCCACTCAGGTGACTGCAATTTATCAGCTGGAAAGTGATCTTTCCCTTCCTGACCCACTTCTGTTTCCTGAAACCCCAACAGCAGAGTGAGACCCCTTGTCCTTCAATCCCCATGGCCACTCAAAGCATCTATGAGGAAAAACTTAACAGTACCTCACTTATTTACGGGAAGAATACAGACTCTACCCAAGAGAGATGATAAGAGGTCTCTATCTTCCCTATGGGAGACACTGGAGCTCCTGCTTGGAGCCTAGTGACCCTTCCTGAGGCACAGTTCTCAAACAGCACAAGGGGACACAGTAAGAAATAAGATCTGATTAGGAAAGGAGAAGAAAGCAAAGACAAGTTCTCGTCCCAATGTGCAGAACTGGGAATGGAAGGTTCACTTTAATGTCCTAAAATTTAAAAAAAATGGAAATATTGGGTGACAGATGCCCGATTCCAAGTACTGTCATACAACTACAAAAAGTGCAGGAGTCGGGGGCTGGAGAGATGGCTCAGAGGGTTAAGAGCACTGGCAGTTCTTCCAGAGGACCTGGGTTCAATTCCCAGTACCCACATGGCAGCTCACAACTGTCTGTAACTCCAGTTCCAGGGAACATGATACTTCATACCAATGCACATAAAATAAAGTTAAATAAATTATTTAAAAAAAAAAAAAAAGAAGTGCAGGAGCCAAGGCCATCCTTCACTAAGTTAGTCAGGACTACATGAGATCCTATCTCAACAACAGAAAGAGTGGCTACTTAGTACGATCAGCATTTCCCTCAGAATACCATTCCTACCAGTGTGGAAAGCCCTTCAATGAGGACAAAAACACTTAGAATAGAATGTGGCCCTCCAAGGACATCTCTGTATGAGAAAGGCCGTTCTCCTTTAATGTAAAATTTCACTGGAATAGGGCACAATGAGGTAGGGGTATTCTTAAATGGCTCTTCAAAGGCAGAATAATGAAAAAAAATATAAGAAACACTGGTATTAAATTTTTTGAAGCTGGGCGGTGGTGACACACACCTTTAATCTTAGCCTAGGCAGAGGCAAGCGGATCTCTAAGTTCAAGGCCAGCCTGGGGTAAGAAGTGAGTTCCAGGACAGCCAAGGATACACAGACAATCCCTGTCTCGAAAAACCAAAAAAAAAAAATTTTTTTTTGAGTAGAATATTTTATGTAAGCATAACAAGGGATGTGTGTAGCCACGACACAGTGAATCCTTAGATGGTCTCCTGTGCCAAACACAGGAACCACTCCCAACACCGCAGAAAAATAGAGTAGCGTATGTAGTTCCAATTCCAAACAACTCTAAAAAAGTATGTGAGGGTTCATTCACTACCTCTCTTCTCTACAACCAAGTTCCATGTGCAAAGGTGAGCCAACCTACAAGGCAGCTATAAACTCCACCTCCGCTGGGAAAGCTGCTGGGCACAACTCAGCATTGCACAACCAATTATGAAACTCAAGTCACAATGTAAACGAACTGCATGCCAGAAAAATTTATATGAAAACTGTTATACAAGCAAAGATCAAATAGAAAATGAAGCAAGATTACATAGGCCCTGGGGAAAAACAATATTGTACTATGCCTTTAAAATGTAACAACAAAGTAGGGTGCAACTGTTTACTGAGGGAGCTGGACTAAGACGGGGCCTAAGTTAGAACCTCCAAGCCCATTGACAGAACAACCCAATCCCTACCCCCTGGCCTCCCAGCTCTATAGGAACTCCGAATGGAGAACCCCGGCTTTCTTACCTGGCCACTTTGCGTTTGTCATGTGGGTGTAGCTTGGCGGCCATCTCGGGGTCTACCTGGCTGAGCCGCTTATGGAGTTCATGGCTGTCCTCCTTCTCAAGCTCCACTTTCCGGTCAGTCGCTTTCCCGGTGCCCATCTCCGGGCGCTAGTACATGAAAGTTTAGAATAAAATCATTCCAACTATTCAATAAACACTGAGACTATAAATGGGTCAGGCATCTTGCTAAGCCTTAGAAATAAAAAACAGAGATGGATCTGAAGATCTTACCATCCAGCGAGGGACAGATCATAAACCAAAAATTCCAATACGCTGTGTAAGTGCTGGGAGGCCACAATAAACGAGGAGGAAGGGCGGCTCCCTCCCAGGGAAGTACCCTGCTGCCCTGCTTGACTATCTTACCTGAGCTACCATGTCTACTCTAACATATCCAGGAATGCAGTGCACCCCTCCCAGGAAGACTGACCGAAACTGCCAGCACACAGCCACTTGCAAAGCCTTGCCTACCCAGTGGCACCTCCATAAGAAAGGTCAATGTTGGACATCTCTGACACTGTGCTGGCAGCCAGGAAATGCTGAGTCAGACTGATGTAGTGCTAACTTACACAGAGATGCTAATTAATCCACGCAGAACCCTTTTCCCACACACAAGCGCTCCCCTCGGGCCGGCTTGGAGGAGTGCACTCACGTACGGAGGTGGCATCTGTTCAGAATATTAAGTAGGAAAATTACAGCTGCTGACTCTAAGAAACAGGTAAGAGTCAGCCTTCCTCCCACTAAAATTATTTGGCACGAGAAAAATGGGAACCATTCCTTTAGTGAGTTACTCGTGAACTAGACTTACCTTGGTATTCACAAGAACTTTCCAGAGCAGAGACTCAATGTAATAATTGGTTCCTCCCACAACAATAGGAATTTTGTCTCGAGCAAAAATATCTTCAATGTAAACATTAAGAAAATTATTTAATATCAATAAGAGAATCCTGACTTACAAGGGAAGAAGAGTATTAGCAAGAAATCACAAAGGCCAGCATGTGGATCACACCTTGGGCCTCCACCCATGGATGCTTATGAACACATGTACACACGTGCACATACTCACACTAACAAGCACACACACACCACACACACATCAAAAAAGGAAAACAAGAAAGAAAGGGAGAGAGAGGCAGGCAGAGGGGCTGGAGAGGCAGCTCAGCAGTTAAGAGCACCAGCTCCTCTTCCAGAGGACTGGGTTTAATCCCATCACCCGTGTGTGGCTCCCAACCATCTGCAACTCCAGCCCCCGGGAACCCAGCGTCTTCTTCTGACCTCCTCAGGCACCAGTCACACATGTGGTGCACAGACTTATGCAAGCAAAGCAGCCATACAACACATAAAATGGTTAATATTTAAAAAACAAAACAAGAAATCACATTTGTCTGGAGAGTTAGGGTTAAAAGGGAGGAAACAAAAGGAAGTGGCACTGACTTCAATGTTTCCTGAACTTTATGGAATGATTTTCGGCTAGACATGCAGAGACTTGCATAAACCAGACGCAGCATCTGAGGATGTAGTTCAGCTGTAAGAGTGATTGCTTAACATGCAGAAGCCCTTGGTTTAATTCCCAGCACCACATAAACTGGACTTGGTAGCACACATCTGTAATCCTAGCCCTGAGGAAGAGGCAGGAGGATCAGAAGTTCAAGGTCAGCCTGGGATGTGAGTCCTTGTCGCAAAAAGAAACAACCACAAAACCAAACAACAAACAGACAAAGAGGAGGCTGGAGAAATAGCTCAGTGGTTCAGAGTGCTTGATGTTTCTTTTTTTTTTAATATTTATTTATTTATTTATTTATTATGTATAAAATATTCTGTCTGTGTGTATGTCTGCAGGCCAGAAGAGGGCACCAGACCTCATTACCTCATTGTGAGCACGTGGTTGCTGGGAATTGAACTCAGGACCTTTGGAAGAGCAGGCAATGCTCTTAACCACTGAGCTATCTCTCCAGCCCGTGCTTGATGTTTCTAATACGCACATGGCAGCTCACAACCATCTGTAACTCCAGTTCTAGGGGAATCCAACGCCCTCATCTGTCCTCCACTAGCAACAGGCATGCCCTTGGTGCACAAACACACATGTAGGCAAAGCATCTATACACATAAAATAAAGTAAATCTTTTTTAAAATTTAAAAACAGAAACAAGAAAAAAAGAAAAAGAACACCAGGCATAAATACACTATGGTATCTAGTTCTACAAATGTCTAGGCCTTGCTGTTAAAACTCTTAGTTTTGTTGGTCTTCTAAATAAGTTTAACAAGCCCAAGGCAAGGCTGCTCACTAAGGTGACACCTAGTGTGGGACTTGGCCTGCTAAAACAAAGCACAGGCTGGTTCCCCACACCACAGTTCTCAGTCAGATTCTATCATTACTGAGCCATAGTGAGTTCAGCCACCAAGACCTCACCAGATTTCAATTTCTCGTGTCAATTACTCAACCTATCTGAGCTTCAGCTTCCTCACCTGTAAAAGCCCCAGAGTGCTCAGGGACATTTAACTGTGCAGCAAGCATCTACGTAACGCCTGAAAACTAGCGAGTCCTCAACTGACTGCAGCCACCGTTGTTCTAGAGTTTTCTTGGGATTCTCTTTAGAATCTGCCGAGCAGATAATTACTTGCTTTAACTAGGATGTTGTTTGTTTAAAAAGGAAGATGACTGCTGGTATGCAGTCGATCATTTCCTCGCTCCTTCCTCCCAGACAACCTGCAGAACTAGGTTAAGTGTTTCCACCAGAATCCTTCTGACTGGTAGAATAGGTGGGAAGATTCTACCAACAAAGGACCAGTGAGAACACTGATACCAGGCCCCAGACCTATAATCCCAGCACTCAAGAGGCTGAGGCAGGAGAACTCCCTAAGTTCAAGGCCAGCCTGTGCTGCATAGTAAGGACAGGACCAGCCAGGGCTACATAGACCATACCTCACAAACAGACAGGGGCTAGCGAGACGGCTGAACGGGTAGTGGTGCTTGCCACCAAGCCTGCTGACCTATGTATGGGTTAGCTTTGAGCTTCCCATCTTCCTGCACTGGATTCTTGAGTGCTGGGATTCTGGAGCTTGTTAAGAACTTTCAGTTTGACATTGTGATGTTATGCGCTTAGTCAAACTTCACAAATCTAACCTAGCGCTGGTCTGATGTCATCCTCTGCTGCTTCCGTCCTTAGAAGGCATTAAACACTCATGAACAATCCAGTTATCTTATAGTAAGACCTCATATTTGGTGATAGATGTTAATCTCCAAAGAACTTTCGTATATACTATCTCATCTGACAGAACAGCTCTGCAAAGTAGATAGACCTGAAATTATTATCTGCAATTTTTTTATTTTATGTGCACTGTGTGTACATATGTGTAAGGGTGTCAGATCCCCTGGAACTGAAGTTATAGACAGTTGTGAGCTGCCAAGTAGGTGCTAGGAATTGAACCCAGGTCCTCTGGAAGAGCAGTCAGTTCTCTCAACGGCTGAGCTATCTCTCCAGACCCCTATTATCTGCATTTTAATCTGTCCATTTGAAAGGCAAAAACATTACCTCATTGTCTGGATTTGCATGCCTATAGCAAGGAGGGCAAACCTTTTCCATGTTTATCACCATATCTGTACTTGCTCCTATGAATTACAGACAAGGCCCTGGAAGTATTTCCATATTCGCAAGAGTCCCTCATGTATTAAGAACACTAGTCACTTGTTCCCCCAAGTTTATGTGTTCTGTTTGTCCAAAGCTGGTTTCAAATTGCTGTGTAGTCAGTGGCCTGACCTTCCAATCCTAGGTGTTGGGATTACAGGTATGCACCACCACATCAAGCATAGTTTTGCTTTTTAACTTTTATAATAATAACAGTGGCAAAACAGACATGTAGCCTATAATTTCCAACATTTATATTGTTTATAAAATTCTTCCATATTGACTGATGCATGTGGCTACAATTTATTCATTTTTTACTATTACAAAGAACTTCTACGCCAGGTAGTGGAGGTCTATGCCTTTAATTCCAGCACTTGGGAGGCAGAGATAGGTGGATCTCTATGAGTTTGAGGGCAGCCTGCTCTACAGAGTGAGTTCCAGGACAGCCAGGACTACACAGAGAAACTGTCTTGAAAGAAATAATCAACCTCCACCCAAAAAGCAAAATAAATAAAAGCAAACAAAAAGACAAAAGACAAACCAACAACAACAACAAAAACTTCTATGAGCAAAGCAAACTTTGCACATTCTTCTAAGAGTGAGAATTCGGGTGATTATTGCTACTAAGTGCAGAACTGAGATGCACGTCTAAGAAAAACCTTCCGACAAGAGTGTCCCTAGAGCATATGCCTAGGCATTCTGGTTCACAAGTCTTCTTATTTTATGTTTTGAGACAAGCTTCCTAGCACAGGTTTGCCTAGAACTCCCTATGCTGCCATGACCTTGAACTTCTGGTCCTCTTGCTTTCCTCTGAGTCCAGCCTGGTCTACAAAACAAGTTCCAAGACAGCCTGGGCTACACAGAGAAACCCTGTCTGGGGAAAAAAAAAAAAAAAAAGAGGAAAAGCCCAACCATACTTTAGAATCAAAAATCAAACAACTACTTCATACACTGTATGTTCTATTTGTTCCAAGTTTCATAATATACATGTGTACATATATTTGACCCCAAAATTCACCTGAAATCTTTAATGTTTTATGAAATACAACTCATATGAAAAGACCTAATTTTACTTTCTTCCAAAACAACCATGCTAAGAATAATTACAATTCCATTCGTTCTTTTCTTTCAAGACAAGGTTTTTCTATGTAGACCAGGCTAACCCCAAACTCAGAAAGATTCGCCTGCCTCTGCCTCCCCTGGTGCTAACATCATTCATTCTTTACCATTCTGAAATGTGTAAGATAAATGCATACACTGAATTCAGTCTACACCATATCTCCTATTCTGTTACGGGTTTTGTTTCTTGTGTGTGTATGTGTCTATGTTTAGGTACGTCTGCTGTGTGGTACACTTTTGGGAATCAGTTTTCTCCTTTTCTACACTGGGATCTGGTGACCCATCTTGGGTCATAAGATTTACATGGCAAGTGCTTTTTTACCTGCTGTGCTCTCAGCGGCTCCATGTTACAAATTCACCCAGTATTTTATAATTGTTATAATTTATAATTTTATAATTGTTATTGCCAATGTCCCCTCAATGGGGAGTTTAAGACCCCCCCCTATTATGGGGGATTGAATTTAGGACTTCATTCATTCATACTGGTCAAGTGCTCTGACAACTGGCTACATCCCCTAGTGGTTATCATAACTTTTCAATGTTTGTTTTAATAGCTGGCAGTTCAGATAATAAAGATAACCTGAATTTTAAGATACAAAGCAGGCCTCTTACATCACTCATTTTTTATTTTGTTTTTATGCTTTTGAGATTGTCTCTCCATGTATCCCAAGCTGGCACTGAATGCACAATCCTCCTGCCTCAGCTTTCCCTAGAGCTAAAATGATAGGTGTAAACCCCATTCCCAAGTTCCTTTTCTCACTCTTTTCCAGGACTGTCGTTCCCACCCAACAAGCCCTTTCAGGTTTTCAGCGACTTCACTGCCAGTACAGATCTATAACTTCGTCTCTCCGCTGAGAAAGCAGGAAACTGAGGCTCAGTGGTGCAAGCAAGCACTTTACCCAGTAAAAACAACATGGCCCAAAGAGGTAAGTTTAGAGTTAGAGTTAGTCATAAAATGTTTTTTCCAAATATCCTTAGGAATCAGGTGTAGGCTGCTGAAATGGCCCACTGGCTAAAAGCACTTGTCCAGCAAGCCTGATGCCTGAGGTCGGTCCTGGAGACCACATAAAAAACCGGATGTGGTGCACACAACTATAATCCCCGTATGCACACTTAAAAATAGAAGACAGAAACGGGAGAATCACTTGGAAGCTCATCACAGGTCAGACAGCCTGGAGTACACAGGGTAGCAGACACAACAGAGACCTTGCCTCAACAAGATAAAGGAGAGACATGACTCCTGAAGGTTGTACCCTGATTGGCACACATAGACATGGCACATGCATGCACATACATGCAATAGTAAAAATAAACTTTAAAAGAGAGAACCATGCAGCCCTCTTGTGATAGTGCAAACTCTAACTTAGCAGATCTGGAGTGGAGCCTGAGTCAGCACTGCTAATGAGACCCGAGGGAAGCTGCCTCTGGGAGTGGGTGCTCTCGCGTAGAACGCACCACTAGAAGCCCACCCAGCCTGGAACTTCTAGCTCCTTAAGGATATCAGGGCAGTTGCTCTGTTCCTGAAGTCCACCACGGTGTAGCTGGTCACAAGGGGGTCCACAAAGCTGATCATGTGGTGCTGGCACATCTTCTGCTCCTGGGCAGAGACCTTATTGGTGATGATGTCTAGCCCTTCGTAGACCTAGGAGAAAGAAAGCGGATGTGAGAAAGTCACCGCCCTCCACAAAATACACACTTGATGAGTAGAAGTGACTTCTAGTTCTCCCTTCAGCCAAATCCTTGGCTGACCCCAAGCAACAGGTCTAGCTTGTGTCTGGGAACCGGGCCAGGGGTACAAAAGCTAAGTCATAGAAAGAATAAAACAGAGCGCTAGCTTGCTTGTCACACTGTAGTTGTTAGCCTGGCTTAAAGATTAAGGAAGTATGTAAATCCATGCCAGGAGAAGGAACGCCACTCCGAAGCATCTAAAATCGAACAGCTTCTTTATTTATTCTACTTATCACAGGTCTCCAGAAAAGGGAACGTTTTGCATTGTTCATAACTCTATTCCAAAAGGCTCAGTAGTTCTTGGATTTAAGGGGCTCTAAAAGGCTTTTAGGATTCATATAAGAGAGGTTCCATCTTATGAAGAAGTGGCCAGTCTAGGCAAACACATAAAACACGTGCATTCTCCCCGTGGCCTTGTGCTCAATGAGTGCCCAGGGCAGCACGCACATCGAAACACGACGGGCGGCAGCCCACGTGCAAGCTCTTCATCTTCATCTGCCAGTTCAACTAAAACTTCAAGTGTTCTTTGTCTGAACGCAAGGTCTCTGATGGAGACCCGATTTGAGAATACTAGTCTGAGAACAGGGATGTTTGGGCTGAAATGTTCTCCCTGTCATCACTGATCCTACAAGGAGCGCTGAACCAACAAATAGCAAGCTCCGCGGAGCGCACCGGATGCTAAAGGCGGTTGGTTTCTGTCTCACACGTCCCTTTACTTACCGGAGTGTCAAGCAGCTAGGCAGTGCTATGGTACCAGGGAGCCCTGGCGCCCCGCTGCCTCAGATCAATCCTGGCTCTGCCACTTACCAGCTTTTGTTCTTAGAGCACACAGGCACTAACTTCTCTGAACCTCAACCGCTCCTAAGTGCAGTGGAAATGATAACACGAATGCTGTTATCAACGAATGGCTTCACCAACATCGAATGCACTTCATATTCACCTGGTGCTCACTAAGCACTGTGAGGGGCGACACACACTCACGTCCGCTCACCGTCCACACTTCTCTATCGGACCCTCACATGGCCGACCTGCCTTGAAGGAATATCTTCTAGAGCAGCTTCTCACCTTTCCTAACGCTGCACCCCCTAACATGGGGACCCAACCATAGAATTATGTGTGCTGCTACTTCATAGCTGTAACTTTGCCACTGTCAGGAACCATAATATAAATATCTGGTATGCAGATGGTCTTAGGTGGCCTGTGAAAGGGCCGTTTGATAACCTCAAGGGTCATGACCCACAGGTTGAGAAACACTGTCCTAGAGGCCCTTAAGATGGCAAGTTTGAAAAAGTAATCACAGCCAGATGTGGTAGAGTACACCTTTACCCCAGCACTGTGGAGGAGAGGCGGGCAGAGAGTTCAAGGTCAGCCTAGTCTGTGGGAAGAGTTCAAGGACAGCCAGGGCTACACAGAGAAACCCTGTCTCGAAAAAAACAAAACAAAACAAAAAAAAAAAATAGAAAAGCAAACACGTAAGCATAACTCCAGCCAAAGGAGCCCAGTAGGCCTGTGTTACTAGAAACAGAACTGCCTACCATGCAGTTCAAAGTATTTACAAAAGCCAGAAATACCAGGAAAAATGAAATCACAGTTTAACTTGTAGTCATAGAGTTAAAAACTATAATTAAAAATCCATAACTTATAAAAAAGTAATTTTTTGCGGGGGGGGGGGGTCGAGACAGGGTTTCCCTGTGTAGCAGTCCTAGCTGTCTGGAACTAGCTCTTGTTGACCAGGCTGGCCTCGAACTCACAGAGATCCACCTGCCTCTGCCTCCTGAGTGCTGGGATTAAAGGCGTGTGGCACCACTGCCCAGCCAAAAATAAAAATAAAAAATTGTCATCTTTAAGCGATTTGTTAATCCTTTGTCTACTACAGCATCAGATTAATCAGGACAGAACATAAAATATGATGAGCTGAATGAAGGTGATGGCACTCACTTGTAATCCCAGCACTGGAGAGGCTGAGGTACAAGGATTATAAATTCAAGGCCAGTCTGCACAAGGATTATAAATTCAAGGCCAGTCTGCACTGCGCGGAGAGCTCCTCTCTCAAAGCAACAAAACTAAAGGACGCACAAAATGACACACGTCACTTAAAGTCTGAGTCACGAGGCTTCTTGGTGACGATCACAGAATACACGACTACAGACTGGGTCTGCCACAGCGTCACTGGTGATTTAACCATACTGCACAGTGTTCTATACAGTTGCTGGAGGCTGACCTACACATCACTGTGTGACTCTATGCAACTGAAAATGCACATGCAGGAATGAGGAAAGGGCAGACCGGCAACATCGGCCAAGCTGCCCACACTAAAGCTAGGTGACAGGCATGGGAATTTAACCTACTACTTTTGGTCTCCATCTCTGTGTCTCTGTGTATGTCTCTCTCTCTGTGTATCTCTGTCTCTGTCAAAGTCTCTCTTTCTGTGTGTCTGAATGTGCATGTGTGTGTGTGTTTGTGTGTGTGTGTGTATGCGCGCACACGCGTATACTAGGGAACAGTCTTACGTTGGAGGGTAGAGGTAGGAGAACAGGACAGCTCAGTGAGTGGGTAAAGGCACTTGCCACCAAGCCTGATAAGAGCCTGAATTTGATCCCCATCTTCCATCTCTGACCTCCACATGAAAGCCATGGCCTGTACGCCAATCCCCACACTAAAAGAGCAAATCTAAAATAGAGCCGGAAATGCCGTGCTTGCCTAACATGCACAAAGTCCCTGGTTCAGTCACAACCACACACTGCAGTGTGGGGAGAAACACATGGTGGTCTATGCTTGTTGTAATCTCCACACTCTGGAGGTGGAGGCAGGAGGGTCAGAAACTCAAGGCAGATCTCTGTGAGTTCGAGGTCAGCCTGGTCTAAAAGCGAGTTCCAGGACAGCCAAGGCTACACAGAGAAATCCTGTCTCAAAAAAACAAAGCCAACAACAACAACAACAAAATAAATGAACAAATAAATAAATCTGAAACAAAATAGTTTTAGTCCAGCTTAAACCTTATCTCATATTAGTTAACTCCCAGTCAAGGTTTCACTGAACAGCTCTGGCTGGTCTGGATCTTGCTCTGTAGACCAGGCTGGCCTCTGCCCTCCGTGTGCTGGGATTTCAGATCTGTGCACCATGCCCAGCTTATTTGTTTGTTTGCTTGTTTAAAGCATCAGGTGAGGCTGGAAGTGTAACTCAGTGAAGGGCACGTGCCTAGCAAAGGAAAGGCTTCCTAAATTAGAGTCTTAGCACCACAAGAAACAATTAAAAATACGGTTGGGCAGTGGTGCATGCCTTAAATCCCAACACTTAGGAAACAGAAGCAGCAAGTAATCTCTGTGAGTTCCGCACCAGCCAGATCTACAAATTGAGTTCCAGAACAGCCAGGGCTATTACACAGAGAAACCCTATCTTGAAACACAACAATAACAACAACAACAACAAAATTACAAAAAGAGAAAGAGGGAAAGAAAAGAAGAAAAAACAGTACAGAAAAGCAAATGCTAAGAAGGATGTAAAGAAACTGAAACTTTTGGGACACTTAGAAATTTAAACGGTATATACACCCCAGAACAGGGCTCTGGGCTGGCTCTGCAGTTCCTGGCTGACGTCACTGACATCACCAGGCCTCTAAGCTGACCTTACAGACCCTTCCCTACAGCACAGCAGCTCCTGCTGGCTACAGAGTAGGCTCAAGGCCAGTTTCATCCAGTGTGTGCTAGAGGAGAGCAAAGGGAGCACATATCATGGAATCTGTCATCTGGACAACAACCAATTTGACAACCAACTCAACCAGCAAAATAACAGCTGTACTACTGATGAACCCACCAGCTAAACCTTCACCCACCATGCCTAACTAGCTATCCACCTCCCTGTGGATTCTCCTCCCATTTCTCAGCCACGCCCTCTGCTGTCATTCACTGGAGGTGACATAGAGGAGCTGTCGTAGATTTCTCCCTGCAACTCTTCCACACCTTCTCAGCAATAAGGAAGGCTGAGACCAACATGGCCTTTCTTTACTCACACTGCCAGTCTCCATACCCAGAATCCCCTTCAGACTGAAGACAGCATGCAGAAGACCCTGGAAAGCATCCTCTCCTACTACTGCAAGGACTCTGCCTACATCTACCAGGCCCCAAAGGCCTTCACATCCAAGGCATCGCCCAGTCTCTGGGCTCTGCCACAGTCCAGACCTGGCCACAAGGGACACTTCTGTGAGCGTCCCTCATAGCCAGTACAGCAGCAGCCCCAAATTCCTAGGCAATGACAGTGGTGGCAGCTAGGAGTTTGTCAGCACCAACCACAAGATCAGACAGCTGCAAGACAGCTCGTCTCCCAAACACCTGCCTTGTCCTTCTTGATGCCATCTGTCTGCCAAGTCGAAGAAAATATTGCTAACAAAACATAGAGTCTTTCCCCTTAAAAGTCTCCATGGAAAAAAATCTCTTATGATGAGTTGTAAGATATCTGAGGTCAGGCATGTAGTTCACAACTATAATCTTAACACTCAAGAAGTGAAAGGAAAAAAAAATCACAGGTTTAGGCTAGCCCTACAGAGCAAGATCGTGCCTCCGAACACAAAAATGAGCCAGGTGTGGTAACATACGCCTTTGAACGCAGCCTGGTCTATGCATGAGGTCCAAGCCAGCCAAGACTACATTATGAGATCCTGTCTCAAAAATTAAATAAAATAAGGAGGAAGAGGAGAAGGGAAGAAGAAATAACCACCAAAGGGTCCTATGGTTCTCTGACCTAACCCTGAAAGCCAAGATGAGATGGCAGGAGCTCGGCTATCTGAGCTTTATGATCCCCATACAGAAGAAGCTGAGTTGCCACCAGGGACATGCAACAGGCTCCCAGCCCACTGCCTGCAAGGCCACCATGAAGCTGAGTGGCCCATGCTCTAGCCTACTTTCCTTGGCATCGCTG